TTTAGAGTGAATGGCCCAGCCAAACTTTCCTCAAATATCTAAACAGTACCTGAAGAACGAAGTAAAATATTCACTCCCATAATTTTGGGGTAATTTGTTAGGCAGCAAAAACAACTGATTATTATGTGCCACATACTCGGCTCTGTGCATTATCTCCACCAACTCCCTTAATTTTGTTTATACTGCAAAGTGAGTGGTATTGCATTTTAGAGATGAGGAAAGTGAGTTTCAGAGAGTTTAACACTCTCATAATGTCACACAGCTAGGAAGAAATGAGTTGGAATTCAAACCCAAGTCTGCCTGACTAACTGAAACCTGAAAAGAAAGATCAAAAAAATCTTAAATTTGTAGAGTAAGGTCTATTCTTTAAGCAGCAAAAAAAGAAAAAAAGAAAAAAAAATTGGCAACATATTTGAGATCAATTGAATTAGAAATACCCACATTCAAATAAAATAATTAAAACACTTTCTAGAGTTCAGCATGTGCAGGCTGGAAATGAAAAATTTGGATGAGAGGGCCCTAGTGAAAAACAAATTTAACTATTACCATATGAACATTGTTGCCTGAATAGTGATGATGCCAAATGGCTGAGCAAAAGGTATTGGAAATAATCTGTAACAACTTTTGTAAAGATGTTTTGGCATGAAAGTGTACAGCAGTTTCATTTTGAAATACTGAAAAGCCTGAGTGAAAACATAATTAGTATCCATAAAAAGTGAATAATTATAGTGCTTTGCTTTAAATGACCTTTGATGAAATTCTAATTCTTCAATATACCATTACCCATTTAACCTAACATTAAAAAGGAGAAATCATTTTCTTTACTTTTCATCCCTTTATGGGTCTACCATCAAATGAAAATATCAAACTTAAACTGCTGTGTCATATGCCAATACTGAGGGACTATAATTATGCTTGTTCACTTACAAGACTAAACATATTTTTAACTTTGTTGTGATTGTGTGACTTATAATTTATTTATACCAAGTAAACACTTTCCATTTCTATTCTGTTGGACTTACAGTTTTTTACATATTCACTCTAAATATTGGCAAAGAAACTTTTCATCACTAAACAGTCCCTTCATCCCTTCACTTCTTTGATTGCTCTAGTGTCTTCTTCAAAGGTTCTTTGCTTTATCCCTGCTTAGTATTTGATATTTGGGGAATAGGTTGGATGTTTACGGTACATCTATTAGAATCTGCTTTGTTTGATCCATGGTTCTCAAATATTTGTGTGCTTGAGAATCATTTGGGGGAATGAATGATAAAAAGAACTGTAGATTCCTAGGCCACATTGCCTGAGATTCTGATTGGAAGGCTGTGGGGTGGGGCCAAGGGATCCACATTTGTAAGGAGGAGTCTAGAAATTTCTTTTGCAGATAGTCTGAGTATCATCTTTGGACAAACACTGTCCTAAGTATTATGGCAGTAATTTTAGTAACTGCCCTCAGATTGTAGGATGCCATTTACCATAAACTGCTAAATGTATAGGTCTCATCCATATAGTTTTTAAAAATAAGAAAATGAAAAACTTCCATACTTTAAAAATATTACTGGAAATAAATTAATAATTAAACGCTTAGAGTAAAAACAAAAATATTTATTATAACTATTTGGGATTATTGCTAAAAATGTAGTTTTATCACAATTTAAAGGTATACACCAAACTCAGTACAGAATTATTTACTTTATAATACCATTCATAATTATATAGGATATGTACTGTATCATAATTATCTAAACCCATTAACATTTATAATTACTAGGTAAAATAATCATTGTTTAATTTAATTTTGCTGTCTACCTTAAAGTTTCCATGAGAATTTGCAAATAATAAGTAGCCAGTGTTGAAGTGGTTACATTGAGGTTGCATAGTGCTCATGAGCTGGTTGCTTATTCATTTGTGTATTCTTTGTTTCTAAGTGTCAGAGGCTGATATAAAGCCTATGAATGCTCCTAATGATTTAATTACTCTTGGACTTGATTTATCTTTACCAATATACTCTTGTCCCTTAGGCTATTTACCTCCAGTGTTTCTACATAGAATTTTTCCTCATGATCTACAAAATTATCATATCTTATCTCAAAATGATCAACTGGAATTAAAAATGGAAAGAACAAAGCCATTAAAATTTCCTCCACCATAATTCACTTTTGTATTAATTCAGCAATAAAGCTACCAAATAATTTCTATTACCAGACACTCCCTCAGTCCTCAGAATATAAAATAACACAGGGCAACTGCTTTCTAAGATACCTGTTCTAATAGGCCTCTGGACTTCAAAATCACAAGTTATCTCAGTATTTTTCTGAAGTAATTATTTCTCTTCTATAGCTCCTCTTTGCTATTAAACTAATTAGTGTTATATATGAAGAGAAGGAGCTTTGAAATCTATATTTTTAAGGACTCTATTCAAACCCTCTCTCACCAATGAATCATGATGGGAAATAAGAACAATTTCTTTATAAAATCAGGATAATAATATTTAATTCACAGAATTTTTCAAAAGCATTTTAAAATTCTCAGATAAAATAAGATAATATAGAGGCTCTTTCTCCAGCATGATAGTATGAGCTCTATGGACCTGCTTCCCTGCAAAACTAATGAAAAATATTTAAAAATGACCAAAGTCTCTGTAGTTGGATGTAAGAGCATACAACAAATGAAGAAATATTTATTCAGGAAAATCTACTACAACTTGACAAGAACAGTGAGTGAGTGGTATCTGAACCAAGGGCCACTCCCTCCCTTGCTCTCCCCTCTAAGCCACATGGAAATTCTACTCTAGACTTGTATAGTTAAGAACACAGGGCTCCCTCTCACCCTAGCTCCAAGTCAGAGGGCAATTTCCCAGAAGGGGCAGGACAGCAGCGTTTCTCAATTTGCTCCCAGCTATCTGTTGCTCAGGCTAAGTTCTGGGTCAGTGTGACTGTCAAGTGAGGGCTTCTTTCTTCCACTCTGCTCTTGCTCATGAAACAGAGACTCTACTTTGGGTACAGCACCACTGAGAATCTTGAAGCTTTCATTTTCCTGGTTTGCAATGCTGAGAAAGGCAAGCCGAGAAGACCTGAGGCTACTATCTGCCCCTTTCCACTCAGCACTCAACTGCTAAAGCATACATCTAAGAGAGAAACCTGACCATTGTCCCCACACCTAGCTCTAGAGTTATCACTAATATAGTCTGCCTAGAGAGAGAATCAGGATATAATAGAACTTTGAATCCCATCCCAAAGGAACTGACTTCATTTGCAACAGAGTGTGGAAAAATTTAAACTTAAAAGTTGCTTTCAAAATCAATGAGACTTGTGGTGACAAACAATTGATAAAAGATTGGTAGATTCATTGGGGATATAGGCAAAGTGTTGGCTAGCTAGTTTGCCAGAGAGAGCCAGGGAAAAGAGACAGCTGGGAGGAGCATTCCTTGGGCCAGAACAAATCTCAAACACTCTCCTTAGGAGCTATCCCTTCAAAGGAGCCCAAATTTGACTGGATCAGTCTATTGAACAATTTGTGCCCCAGGACACTGGTGAAAACAATAAAGCAATTAGCTGGCAATTATCGTAGTTAAACAACTAGGTGTCTGCAGAGAAAGAGACCATCAGAAAGAGTCCTGCCAAACCACTGTCATACTAGGGGGGGACTGTGGGCTATTCAAGGCTGTGTGCCTTGAACAGCATCAGAGGCTTCACAAAGTGGTGGGTGGGTGTGGGGTACGGTGGGCAATATACTTCACTAAAATAGTCCAGCCAGTCATTAAACAAATAAAAAAACCAATAACAATGACAAGCCCTGGAGGGAAGGGACCAGTACCAGAGTTGCTGCAATATATTATCTGTAATGTCATTCCCAACAAAAAAGTATTGAGAACATATGATCTATACATTGGGGAAAAAAGTAGGATGTGAATGACTAGATGTCAGATTTAACAAAGACTTTAAAGCAACTATTACAAATAGTTTCAAGGAACTAGAGGAAACCATGATTAAAGAAGTAAAATAGATTTTTATGACAATGTTGCAACAAACAGTATCGATAAGGAGATAGAAATTAATTAAGAAAAGAACCAAATGAAACTTCTGGCATTGAACATTTCAGTAACTGAAATGATAAATTCATTGGAAGGACTCGACAGTCGATTTAAACCAACAGGAGAAATAGTTAGCAAACTCAAAAATAAATTGATAGAGATTATGCAATCTGAAGAGCAGAGAGAGAGAAAGATGAAGAAAAATAAACATACTCTCAGAGAAATATGAGAGACTACTAAGTACACCAACATACAATAATGTGAATACCAGAAGCAGGGGAGAGAGAGGAAAGAGAAAAAAAATTGAAGAAATAATAGCTGAAAATGTGCCAAATTTCTTAGGCAACATTAATCTATACATCCAGGAAAACATTAATTTCCACATCAACAAACTGCATAGGATAAATGCAAAGAGATCCGCAAACAAGTCACAGTAAGAATGATGAAAACAAAAGGCAAGGAAAAAATCTTGAAAGCAGGAAAAGAAAAATGACTCATCATTGCAAGGGAACTCCACTAAGATTAACAGGTAAATTCTCATCAGAAACAAAGGAGGCCAGAAGGCAGTGTGCTCAGTGAAGAAGCTGTCAACCAAGAATCCTGTATTCAGAAAAGCTGTCTTCCAAAAATGAAAGTAGAAAAAAGACATTAAGAGATAAGCTAAAAGCGAAAGAATATATTATTCACAGATCTACCTTTGAGAAATACTAAAAGAAATTTTTCAGGCTAAAAGCAAACGATCTTATTTTTTCAAATCCACATACACACAAAACAAAGAACATCTACAAAGGTTATTATGTAATGATGAAAGAGAGTAATGTATGTTTCTTCTCTTTTCTTAACTCTGTTAAAAACCAGTTGTAGAAAACAAAACAAAATGCATATAATGAATTGTTGAGCCTATGACCTAGAGAAATGTAATATAGTTGCCATTAACAGTGCAAAGGAGGTAGGAGAGAACACAACTCACGTGGGCTAAGGAAATGACTCCAGATGGTAGCTCAAATCCACAGAAACAAATGAAATGACAAATGCTGAATATTCTTGGTCTTTCCCATAACCCCTCCTTGCTAAATGTGATACTGACTTTGTATGTTGTTTCTCATCCTCCCCAGGAATCCCAGGTACTTCCTGCTCTGGTAGGCTTTTGTGATGCAGGAGGTAAAGAAGAGGGAGTGAAGGACCAGAGGCATGACCCAACAATCTACAGGAGGTCTCTCCACCTCATTTCCCAGGGGGGAGTCAGATCCAGGGAGGGTTAGAAGTTATATGTGAGGAAAGAGGAACTAAAGAAGCATGGTTATGAAGTCTCGTCATGATATTCACTCAATTTAAGCAGAAAACTTCAGAACTTATTTTAAAATTAACTTTTATTTTCTGATGTGCTTTTTGATAGATCCCTCTCTGAGCTACACTCTTCTTAGGGGAACAATGCCAGACACATTCTCTACCAACTTTTCTCACACCTGTTTCAAGCCTTTCATTAGTGTTTGTTTTTGTTTTTTTTTTAACTCCTGTATCTTGGACATTTCACCACTTGGTTCAAATAGTACTTTGTTTTCCTTTTTAAATCAATAATGTTAATTGGAAACAATAACTATTATTTTATCAATAATATTAATGATTAACATTTCCTAGAAATAAGAAGTAGTTTGAAGTAGAGTAGTTGAGTAAGGGATATGTATTTTTATAGTTTTCCCCATAAATATTCTGGTGTCTCTGGACTGTTTCAATTTTCTGAGTATCAAATTTTTTACCTGTTGAATGATGGAGATGGCTTGATCACAGGTCACATGGATAGACTTCATTCAGCAGGTCTGTAAATACCCCAAAATTATATGTACAATTTTCTCAGCACATATGTTTGTTTTTGTTTGTTTTTTTATCAGAAGTTTGCATAGCGTTCAAGTGATTTTCCAGTGGGATAACCATATCAGATGCTTCCTGGAATGGATAAAATACATGGATAAAATACAGCAAGCATAGTCGCTGGAAACAGAAATGTCCTGTATTTTCCTCTCTTTCCTCATCTTCTGTAAATGTCTCCTATTACTAAAATGTACGGGGAAGCTAGAGAACAGGGAGCCTGGTCAAAGAAGATGAACATAATGCAGAGCAAAGCAGGGGAAGAGTTGGGCATGAATCTGAGAGCAGACAAGTAGAGGCCAAACACTGGAGGATATCATCTATTTGCAGGAGCAATGCCAAATGCTAAAACCATTATATGACGGCATAAGAAGATACGTAAACAAGTGCTCAAAATTGTACAGATAGAAACCACCAGGGAAATTAAATATGAGAAATGCCTCTGTTGGAGGGAACATGGGTACAGAAATCAGGAAAAGCTGAGATGAGATGGGCCTTGTCCTGTGACTTGATGACTTGGAGGGAAAGCAGGGAGACGTTTGAGGGAAGAGGTAGAACCTAAGAAAAGGCAAAGATAATCACCCCGAACTTTGTGTATGAGGTGGGAGTGGAGAAGGAAGGAAGTGGGTGGTATGGTTAGTCAGGAAACCAGGAGAATAATTCCCTCCCCATCCTTTGCTGTCCTCCTTTCTTATTTCCTTTCTCCATTACATCAAGTATTTTTTTTTAATTTTTTTAAAGATTTTATTTATTTATTTGAGAGAGAGAATGAGATAGAGAGAGAGCATGAGGTGGGGGGTCCAAGGGAGAAGCAGACTCCCCGCTGAGCAGGGAGTCTGATGCGGCACTCGATCCCGGGACTCCAGGATCATGACCTGAGCCGAAGGCAGTAGCTTAACCAACTGAGCCACTCAGGCACCCTACATCAAGTATTTATTGAGTACCTTCTACTTGCCTGGTACCTACAGTAGCCTATAGTAGGTACAAGATATACACAGAATATAAAAGTCTATCTCTTGTCCTTGGGATGCATACAGTTTAAGAGATAGAAAATAAGTAAACAAAAAATATATATAATTTCAAATTGTGGAAAGGCTCTAAAGGACACAAAAGGGTGACATCAAATAGAAAAATGTTTAGTAATAGAGATAGATCAGAGTTCTTGACCCCTCACGTGGAAAGCATGAAACAAGATTTCAGGCATATTTCCTGGTACTGTGGAAAAGGATTAGTGCAGACTGAACTCAATATACTAGGCTGTGAGAACAGCGTAAACAAAATTGTGGACATGGGGAACATAGCTGAGATCTCTCAAGACTCAGTGACAGACTTGACTCTGGGTTTGAGGGGAAGAAGTCCAAGTTTAATGTAACACGGAAGGCCAGAATAATAGTGATGACATCAGTATATAATAGAGGAAGACACAGAGCAAAACAGCAGATTTAAATGGGAAAACAATCTGTTTTGAACCTATAATCTTAAAGATGATATCCATTCAAGATAACTGGTGACTTAGGAAAGTGTTACAGCTAATTCTCCTGGGAACAGGTCCATTCATAGATAGTTTCTAAAGAGAAGTTGGGGCTGTGGGGATGTTCAGGCATGTTCTTAAAAATTTGGAGTTATGTAACAGCATACTTTCAGGGCAATGGCAGATAATATAAAATGGGATTGTTCTCATACCAATATGATAATCTATATCCATATCTATCTATATTAAATTTGTATACCCACTGAAGTCTAGGAAATGTGTTATATATCTTAGATTCTCAGAGATTGCTCCTGAAACACAGTAGGTACTCAAGCTATTTAATGGTGACTAGATTATTAGAATGATGCAGATCTTTGAGAAGGCAAAGATAGTTGTCCAAACCATTTGAACACTGATTCTGCTTTCTTTCCCTGATTGGTATGTGGCCTTGTATATGATGAATTTGATACAAAAACAAGGAGAAATCTCATTTGTGCTACCATTCATTTAAGCGGAAATGCATAGAGTAGAACAGTCCGTATAGTACAGGCAACTGTGGCGGACACGGCTATCACTCAGCCCGTCTCCTATCAGGTCTCTACCACTTTGTACACATGAGCAGGATGTTTCTCTAAGAGTCAGCACCTGTGTCTCTTGGGAGGCAGGTGCTTTCAATCCTTTAGATCCCACTTTCCTGCCTGCATAGAGATCTAAACATACCTGGGAATCTAATCCTACAGCCTCACCACCATGGGCAGTATGCAAGCAATGTCTGGGCAGAGGAGAATTAATGACTCAGTCCTGTTGGCATTTAGGATGACTTTGAGAAATGACCCACACTGTCTCCAGAGCTCCCTAGTGCAACTGAGCTGCAGTCCCATGGACTTAGCTTGGAATGGTTCCCTTGTGTGGCCTTCTTTCTCTCCTGATTTCACTTCCCTAGTCCCCTAAGCAGATTTTGTTTCTGGGAACACTTCTCAATAAAACACTTTCATATGAATCCTTATTCCAGAGCCTAAAACCAACCTAACTAAAGAGTATCAGTTTTCTACTTGCTGCTATAATAAATCACCACCAAATCGTGGCTTACCAGAACACGAATACAGGGGAGCCTGGGTGGCTCAGTCGGTTAAGCGGCTGCCTTCGGCTCAGGTCATGATCCCAGGGTCCTGGGATGGAGCCCCATGTTGGGCTCCTTGCTTAGTGGGGAGTCCGCATCTCCCTCTTCCTCTGCCCCTCCTCCCTGCTTGTGCACGTGTGTGTGCACGCACGTGTGCCCTCTCTCAAATAAATGAAATCTTAAAAACAACAACAAAAACCCCAATCCCTGGACTAAAACCAAGGGGCTGCAGGGCCGCATTCCTTTCTCAAGGCTCTAGGGAAGACTCCTCTCATGGGTTCTACATTCCCCAGCTGATGATCCCCTTTCTCCATCTTCAAAGGCAGCAAAGGCTGGCTGATTTTTTCTCACATCACATCACTCTGATCTCCTCTTCTGCCTCCCTCTTCCACTTTAAAAGACCCTCGTGATTACATTGGGCCCACCTGAATGGTCCAGGATAATCTCCTTACGTTAAAGTCAGCTGATTAGCAACTTTAACTCCCATTTTCCCAGGAAACGTAACATAGTCTCAGGTTCTAGGGGTGAGAGGGGACACCATTATTATATATTACAATATAGCATATTGTTAAACCCTGAGTATAAAGGCTCCTGTTAACAAAAATTAGACTGTTTTCTCAGATCAGGCATTATCCTACAATGTTCAAAGTGTTATCTGTTTCTCCCTTTTCAGTGAACTGGAGGCCCAGGAAAAGTCACACCAAGATAAATTACATCTGTGCCTAACTTGTGTGGTCCGTATTGCTTCTGTTAACTATTTGTGTCCATGGCTAATTAAATCCAGAATTTAATCTAATCTGTGTGTATATGAGGAGAACGGGGAGTCTCTTCTTGCCGGTCCAAACACCAGAAATCCAGCAATAATGAAGTTGTAATGCACTATTATTTCAACTTGGAAATCAAGAATGAAGAGTGTGAGCCATGTTTCTCTGCTAGTGAATTCCCTTCCAATCCTACCGTTGGAGAAGCCACAGAGTATTGACTGCTTATGGACGTTGCAGTAAGATTTCAGAGTATAAGAGGGGTTAGACTAGATTGTGTTGAAGATACATTCTATCGTGGGTTTATCATTTTCATTATATCAACACAATGGACTTAATAATGACCTGGGAATTGTCTATCACAGTATAACTCAACCAAGAAGACGTCAGGCAGCAGGACAGAAAAGGAGACTGGCCCTGCTGCAGAAATTGCCTGCATTCTGACCAAAGGAATCATGAAAAACAAACTGGGAAAGCACAGAATTCTGCATCACATTACAAAACAAGCTTTTCAGTTTCCAGGAAAGTTGGGAGAACTCTCCTTGGGAGACTCTAGGAAGGTGCACAGAGCCATGAATTAAGTGCTCCTGTGAAACAGGGTGTTAGAAGCCAGAAGAAGATAGATGTTTAAATATGCGTATGCTATTTTATTTGAAGCCAAAAAAGGAGACACTAGAATTGTTTGTCATATCTTAACTGTTGCTGGGAAACTAAGCAAGGTATTTCCAAAGTAGGATGCCAGCGAACACTGAAAAACCTTGGGGGCTGCTTGCCAAGACTGTAAACTCCATTTGTCACAGAGCCTGTGTAGTACAGAGTTTCTTCTAAATTTATCTTCTCCATTTGTTTTTGTCATAGAATTATAAACAATGTGAGGTTAGACACACGAAAGAGCTATATGTGTTGCTTCTTTTAGCTCTGTCAGACGCAGCTTTGTTTAATATCAACTGCACTGTTAGAATCTATGAGGACTAAGATTCATTA